AACTAGATGACTTTCCAAGTATTACTCGGATTAATTTTATTCAGTTTTTTCTATATATATAAAAAAATTTTAAAAACGTTAATTATAGTTAAAAAATTGAATTGTGTTCAAATTTTTAATATTGAACAAACTCTCACAAATCACTTCTCAAATAATTTATATTTGTGAATAAGCGTATATAAAGTCAAACATAATTGATTATGGATGACTATGTATGGTTTAGTTCGAGTTTGTATTTAATCTTTAACAAAACTATCATTTGTTTCTCAACTAAATATTTTAGGTCAATTTTTTGTCTTATAACGTTATCAAAAAAATTTTATAGTTATTTTTTAGGATCATGCTTTTCGAAAACAATTTTTTTATAATTATCCGTGTATTATAGTGTCATATTTTTTATTTTCTCTATTATAGGTTGTATTTTTTTGAGAAAACAGTTTTAGAACCATTTTATAGTCATCGGTATATCGAGAAATCCGCTTTATGGTTATTATTAAATCATTGGGTCACGATTTTTTAGGAAAAAAATATTTTATTGTTATTAATGCATATTAGGATTGTGTTATTAAATCATTGTTCTTCTTCTTCACTTTTTCTTTGTTGTTTCCTTCTGTTTCAAAGTATTTGATGTTTTCTTTGAAATAACTTAATTTTTTTTATTGGTTTTTTTTATATGACTTCATATGTAATTATGTTTAATTTTTTATTATATAGTTTTCATAAGTTCGGTTTGTATTGTCTCGTCTTGAGAATTAATTTTAATCATGATTTAAAATCTGTTAGAGATGATTGTATATTTTTATATGTTTTGAAAATAAATTATATCTTTTGTTTTATTCGTAAAAATAAAAAAAAAATTTAGTTGAGAGGTTTTTCGCGGGGTTCGAATCCTAGTTGAGAATAATTACTATAGAACAAACATGTTATTATTGGAAAAAATCCAAATCCAAATCCAAAACGAAAATAGATGACAATATTTAAAAGATTGACACGTATGTGAAAATGATGAGGTGAGTATAAGAAGGAATCTCTCTCTAACTTAAGGGATTGTAGTGGAGTATATATTTATTTATACGTACTGAAGTACATATTGAAATAAAAATTGCATATCTTTTAATTCCAAGACGTCTTGCCTAGACGAATTCTCGACAATCTCAGAAGCACCAACTGCATTTGATAGCCAAATTTGACTTACACAATAATTTTATATATATTAAATTTATATTCTTTAAGAACATTACATGTTAAAAATATAAATAAATAATACATTAAGCTTATATTCTTTAAGAAAATATAAGCTTGACATAATATCAGAGCAATATTTAAATCATATAATTTTTTTGTTTGTTTTTTTAATACTTAGCCGCTTTTGCCATCTCCCTTTGCTTAAAAGATTTCTTCTTCTTTATTACAGCTCTGTTTTTCTTTTCTTCCACCTCCTTTTACGAGTTTTTTTTTCTCTTCTCCATCTCTATGGTTCTGATATTTTTTATTCTTCTAGTTACGTAGGGGTTC